GGAGTTGGTGTGGAGATTTCCAAAGAATTGGGAAGATATAATTTTAATTTGGATTATTGTTAGTGGATTAACTATTCTACGTTGAGGATATATGAGATGCATATTGGGTAAGTGGCGAAGTTAGAGGAGATACTGACGAATATTGTGTCAGATGGGAATTTGAGGTTTATATTGAGACTTTGGAGGGGCTTACAGGAAGCATCGGGTACTAAGTTGAAGTTGAGTTTGACTTACCATCCGCAAACTGATGGTCAGTCAGAGAGGACTATTGAGTCTGTAGAGAATTGGTGAGAGCTTGGGTGTTGGATCGAGGTGGATTGTGGGATGATTAATTACCGTTGGTTGAGTTACCTATAATAACGGTTACCATCCTAGTGTCGGAATGACACTATATGTGGCTTGGTGAAATAGGGAGTGTAGGACTCTACTGTGTTGGAATGGGCCGAGTGAGAGTGTTATGCTCAGACCTGAAAATTATGTGGAGATGGCTGAAAAGATTAAGAGGATCCAAGGAAAGATATGTTTGGAGAGTCACGCCGGTGACTGATGTTGGTTGAGCTTCGAAGTCTCGGAAGTTCGCACCGTGTTCTGTGGTTTGTATCAGAGTGGCGCAGCAGAGGTATGGGAGGAGTAACATGTTAGACCATTTTCCCGCTGTCGCTATGAATTGGCATGATATGTTTCATGTGTCGTAGTTGAGAAAGTACATTGAACCAGGTGGATGATGTACAAGTGAAAATAATTTGATTGTTGAGGCATTGCTATTTCGTTTGGACGAGCGAGAAACAACTCCGAAGGGAGGAGATATCTTTGGTGAAAGTAACTTGGGGAGGTGCTGCAGAAGGCAGTGTGACCTGTTAGTTGGAATGAAGGATGCGGAAAGCGTATCCGGAAGTGTTCCATCAGGTAATTTTCGAGGACGAAAATACTTAAAGTGGGGGAGAGTTGTAACACCCATTTTATTTATTTAGTCATTTTGGTGTTAATTTAATTATTTTATGTTGGTGTGCCCTTAGGTGGGGTGTGTTGGCATGTGATTGATGAGTATCCTTGATATATAAGGATCATTGGTGGTGTGGAGATAATAATATAATAGTTAATAGTAATATTGGTGGTATTATTATTATTATTATTATTATTATTATTATTATTATTATTATGATTATGATTATTATCATCAGTATGAATATTATTATTGGTGGGTGTCCCTGATATGGGAGGATTATTGGTGGTGAATTGGTATAGATATAATAATATAATAACTAATAGTAATATTGGTGGGGGTATTATTATTATTATTATATTTATTATATTCATTATTATCATTATTATTATTTTGGTGAGATAATAACATTATTATTATTATTGTTATTATTATTAATAGTATTATTATGATTAGTATTATTAATATTAGTAATATTATTATATTATTTTATTAGTTATTATTATTATTGGGATTAGAGAATTAAAATAGAAACGTGAGGGATTAGTAGTTTTACGATACATTGTGAGAAGTTAGAGAAAGTGGAAAAAGAACGATAGAAAGGAGAGAACGGAAAAGGGAACGGAAAAGGGAGCAAAGAACGAAGGATACAGGGGAAAATCAGAATTGGCCAAACCTTGGAGGGTTCTTTCATCGATCAACCGATTAACAAGGTAAGGGGGGAGAAACTTGATTGGGATGGTATATACATGTATAGGGTAGAGGGGATTCCTTAACCCCGTAGGAAAATTCAGATCTATGAAGTTTTATATTGGCATGCTTGTTATTATTGTTGCTAATGATAAATTGATGCTTGACATTGATGAATTGTTGATTGGTATTGGTGAATTTGGTGTATATATATTATGGTGATGTTAGTGAGATTATATGTTGTTACTGCAGTGTTGATAGTAACTATAAATAGAGTTTTGGTGAGATTCTATGTTGTTACTGTAGTGTTGATAGTAAATATAAATAGAGTTTTGGTGAGATTCTGTGTTGTTACCGTAGTGTTGATAGTAAATATAAATAGAGTTTTGGTGAGATTTGGTGTTGTTACTATAGTGTTGGTAATGACCAGGATTATAGCTTTGAGAAAATTATGTGTTGTTCCCTGTGATGTTGTTAGTGACTATGGTTAGGACCTTGGTGAGATTCAGAGTGACTCTGAAGTGTCGGTAATGTACCGTAATGTTGGTTCTAGAGTAGGAAGTATATGATAATTGGTAAGTATAATGTTTATTGGTGTGTTTTGTGTTTGATGATAACTAGTAATTGATCGATATATGATAGTATATATTGTTATGTTATGATTGATGATGATTGTTGTTAATTATATAGTAATCGTTAATGAATTGGTGTTTTGGGATGATTTGGCATACAGGGTGTTTTACAGTTTTAGGGAAAATTATGTATGGCTTTTGAGGTATCGATAAAGTGTGTAGGTGATGATTTTGGGAATAGGAATTAGAAGCCTATTGGTTACGGTAATGTGCAAGATTGGTACTAGAATAGACTGAGGATCTGAGTCGAGATGATAGGTACAGTTTGGCCTTGATGCACTGTAAGAATGATGAGCGTGGGAACTAACTTATGTACTTGGTGATAGTGCATACTTCCCGTAGTAATGACTGGTGGACAATTAGTTGATGTATATGTATGTAGTGATCAGTAGGATCGTGTATCCCCGAGTAGTGGGATGTGTTTGTATCTTGGTGACAGAATATGAACTTGTTTACTGACTGATTGATTTATACGGTGTTGGTGCATGTTATATCTATGTATATATATGTAATGTATAATGATACGATCAGGTGGATCGTGTGCACTTAGTGTGCCTGAACATAATAGTTATGCATTGGTGTGTGCATATCATGGTGTCTTGGTGGGATGGATCATGTCTCGGATAGAGCATAAGTGATCTGTCCGTACTCCTTTGTGGAGAATGGTGGGGTTGAATCATGTCTCAGATGGAGCGTAAGTGATTCACCCGTACTCCTTTGTGGAGAATGGTGGGGTTGAATCATGTCTCGGATGGAGCGTTAGTGATTCACCCGTACTCCTTTGTGGAGAATGGTGGGTTCGATTGAATGACCAATGAGTCGGTACCGCATGCATGGTGTTGAGTTGCATATTTGCATTATAATATGTTATATTGTAATTTGAACAGTAGGTTCGTTATATGGAGTTGTTGGGGTGAATATTGGCGTAGTGGTGTGTTTTACTACCTTGTTTACATGTATTACATTACCATTATATTCTGATCATTATTTCTCACCCCTTTGTTGTTGTTTTGGTCTGTGCTTCTTCGGAAGTACAGATAATCCAGGTGCTTAGCTAACTTGGATAGTGGTGTGACCGTCGAGTCGTAGGATGCTCTGATACGTAACACGGGATATGGGTGTTTTAACTGTTTCATGTCAAACTTATTGTAATCCTGTGACGTATCATGAATTTGATGTATTTTATTTCATTAAACAAATTCCGCTGTATTATTTTGAAAAGAATGAATAAAGTATTTTTATAAAATTTGGAGATGTGATATCCCACTTTTGGTGAAAACTCTGATTATTATTATAATATTTATATTTTATTTAATACAGGAAAGTGGGGTGTTACAGGTAGCTCCTGTTCTGGACTGGGCCTGTGGCTGTCACACTGTCGGGCATGGCCCAACCCAATGTTGTGTCAAGGATGACCCAAATGCTGACCCACTGTCGGATAAGGCTCAAACACGCCTTAGTGTAGGGGACGACCCCAAAACATTGGCCTAATCCATTGGGGCCAGTGGAGAACACGTGCTCCTCACCCGAGGACACGTCACCAACTGCACCCGCGCACTTCACGTAGCCGTTTTGCCCTTCAACGGGCAAGTCCATCCACCTTCTGAAGGACACGTGGTAGTTGACCCAAGGTGATGAGCACGTGCTGCTCATCCCCTCTGTCACGTGAGAATCCTGACAGCCACCTGTTATGGGTCTAGACATTCAGTCCATAACGGGGACCGTTGGCCCAACGCTAGGGGCTCTCTATAAATACCCTATTCTGGTAGAGGGTCATACATTCAGAATTCAATCTTCACTATTTACTTACTTACTCTCTCTTTGCCTGAACTTACTTGGGCGTTAGAGTGTCTGCAGTTACCCCCATTCTCCATCCACTTTGCCTGATTGTAGCTGCTCCACGACGTGTTGTTGGCCACTGAAGTTTCTTCTGATCCTGATAAGACCAATTACATTGAACAACCACATTATCTGGTATGCAAAGAAGTTGAACCAATCAAACTCCGAAGAACATTGTTTCATATGTCGTCAATCTCCTATTCAACACCAAAATACAATGAAAATTGTATTCATAATCTTGCTTAATGACATTTAGTTAAAAAAACAAATTAGTTGGAATAACGCTTCGATTTAATGGCATTCCAAGTTCTCGGGACGAGTTCTTCGTACAAAGTTTCACGGGCGTAAGTCCTTTGCCCATGCTAGCCAAACTTTATAATTTAGTTTCCCCCTATATATCTGCTTAGGAAACAAAAAGATAAATAGTTGGCTCTGACCGCCTTTACGGTGGTTTGGAGTGGATCAGTTTGATTAACATTTCAACGTTCAAATTAATTTAAAGTTCAAAATGAATATATAAAAATATAAATTAATATTAATTGAGCGTTTTTATATTTCAAATTGTTTTTATACGTTGTAGAATATATTTTAGATTGATTTAACGTGAGTCCGTACGTAAAAAATATATATATATATATATATATATATATATATATATATATATATATATATATATATATATATATATATATATATATCTAAAAAAATTCAAATACATTTTTTTAAAGGAGAAATTATCTATTAATAAGTTTGGAGGACTTTTAATAAAAACGAAAAAAGTGTTTTGGTGGAGTGTTAACTAAAATCACAAGACACAGAAAAGGTTGAAAGTAAGCCTTTGTCCTAGCGGAGTACAGTCCAATATCGAAGAAACCCCCCAAAATCAGCAGCGAAAAATGGATGATAGCACCAATGATGAGATCGAAGATGAAATCCAGATCGAACAATTCCTCTACGAAGTCGAAGAAGAATTCAATAACCCCTTCCCCCACTTTCCCTCTCCCTCTCCATCTCCATCTTCCTCTTCCTCTTCTCAAGATCAACCGTAATTCCCTCACTTACCTTCACATTCATATGCATAAACTCTGCATCTAGTTATACACAATTCTCACCTTCTTCTTCTCATGCAGTAACGCCATTGCAATTGCTTCACCCGCTGAATTCACTTTCAATACCAGCATCGCCTCTTTGCACACATACCTCGGTGGTACGATTTTTTTTTCAATTTTTTTCTGTTATGTAATTGCGATTGTGTTGTTAGGTTTTCACTAAGCTCAATTTTTGTTGCTGACAGATGTGGAAGACACGCGCCACCGCACTGCTTTTTTGGATGGTGGTGCTATATTGAACATTCCACTGTTTTGTCTTCAAGGTTGCTATTTTCATTTTCTTTAATGCTAAAATGGATTCATTCATCATGCTGTGTGCTAGTCTTTGCCATTTTTGACTAGTCCTTTGCAATGTTCAGGTGTTGTACTCTTTCCCGGGGCTACTCTTCCCCTTAGGGTTACTGTTTCTCGTTTTGTGACTGCTATTGAGAGAGCTTTGAATCAAGTTGATGTTCCTTATACCATTGGTGTGGTATGTTAACTTAATGTGATTTTGCTTTAGTTTTTCTCATAAAACATTGATGAGTCATTGACCTGCATTTCCGTTTCAGATTCGGGTTCACAGGGGAACTGGAAGTTTTACTATGAAAGCCGCAAGCATTGGGACAACTGCAGTGGTATTCCATCTCATTTGATGTACTATTTATACCAAACTCGTGCCAAATAATTTGTGTAATAAATGTGTGTCCAATACGGTTTTTAACTAAAATATGAAGTTCTTTCTTTTTAATTTTTGTATTAATAAATAGTACATGTATTCTGGACGAGTCAATATGTAACCCAACTCTGTGTCGCAAAGATGAAAGTATTAAAAAGGATGAGTAGTCACACGCACGAGACAAGATAAGATTGAAAATAAAATTTTGAGAGAAAATTGCGGTAACTCCATGGTAGAAAAGATGGTAGCACTTAGAAGACCCATAGATGCACCAATAATGGCAAGGTAGAGTGAGACTAAGAAAAATCATTGACTAAACCGTCAAGAGAGATTTAAAGATAATGATATGTTTTTGAACTTAATACATGATAGGAATTATGATGCCATTGCCATCTTATATGTGGAGTCGATCGCGCCTAGTGGTATATAGTTTGATTGTTGATGTGAAGTTGAGACCAATAAAGCTAACTTAATTGCTTAAGGAATTAACATTCAATTCGTAATACAATGCCTGATTTTGCAATGCAGCAATGAATAAGTCATTTCCCTTAAAGGAGGGAACCCAAAACAAAAGAGATCACATGTATTTGCTAGTTTTCTTAGTACTTACAATAGTTAGCTATCAGTGTCAATATGTCTATTGGCTTATTTTTCTCGTTAATATCAATATCTGCAGATTCGACAATATGGTCGTCTAGAGGATGGCTCCCTGAATGTGGTGACCCGAGGACAACAACGATTTCACCTAAGGCGGTGTTGGAATGACGTGGACGGAGTGGTTAGAAAAATATTACTACATTTGCTGCCTTATTATTATTATTCACTTGTGCTTTAGCATTGATGACTCCTCTTTTCTTTGTTTGGTTGGGGCGGCTCTTCTTAGCCTTATGGAGAGATCCAAATTATTGAGGAAGATTTACCATTGAGAACTCCAAGGGATGCTTTTGGCAAATCAGCATCATCATGTAATATGCTTTGCAGCTGCGTTGAAATGCATGGCTTAAAAAACGGGGAAAATGATTCAAAAGCAAATTCAAACGAGGGTTTTGACAGTGAGCTTTCACCATTGGAAAGAAAAATCCACCTATCTGGTTCTGCATCTGATATGATGGATGTATTAGCAAGCAATAGTGATCAGGAAATAAGATCCAATTTGGATTCCAGCACTGGGATATGTTCCACTTCTGGAAAGCTGTCATCCAAAGAAGAGCTTCATAGATGCTATAAGAATAAACCATCACATATAATTTCAAAAGCATTCTTGCCCCACTGGGTATATCGTATGTATGACTCCTATTGGCTTGCACAAAAGGCCGCAGGTAGTTTTCTTTTTCTTTTTCCGATTAATTTTTTTTTGGTCAAGTAGCATAGTGGCTGGAATTCACCCTTTAAAGGTGAACATGTGGGATGTCGTGGGTTCGAACCCGCGCCCCTACCTCTGATCTCCCTGCATAGGTACCAACTGAGTTGGCTTAACTAGACTTCTTGTTCCGATTCTATTAGATATATTTTGCCTTTTCCCCTTCTTTGGTATGATATATCACTATTATGGCTGCTAAAAATTTTCTTTTCTTTTATTATTGATTTTAAAATTTGAACTAAATTAATGGAAAATTCATGTGCAATTATTACTTGATTTTCAAATAATAAAATTCCTCTTTTTTTTTGTGTGTGTATGTGTACAAGCTTCCTTTTTGTACAATTATTCAATTTAAGTATTAGATTTATAACTGAACTTTGGCTTGATAAGCTGTAGATATGTGGAAGCAAATAGTCAGGGTTCCTAGTATGGATAGTCTCATCAAGAAGCCTGATGTTTTATCATTTCACATCGCCAGTAAAATACCTGTTTCTGAATCTACAAGGCAAGAGCTATTAAACATCGATGGCATCGTATATAGGTTGCGCAGGGAAATTGAATTACTAGAGAGCATTGATCTTATCCGATGTAGAATATGCCAAGTAATCACTCCCTCATCAAAGCCTCTCAATTTTGCACACCATATTTCTTGCGTTTAAAATTTACACGATTTTGGATATATACAATTCTTGAAAGTTCTTAGGCCTTAGAGTAATATTCATTCCCTCTTCTAAAAAATGTCTTCAAATTTGCAGACTACAATTGCAAAACGAAGTGATATGTTGGTGATGTCAAATGAGGGTCCTCTTGGCGCCTATGTAAATCCAGATGGTTATGTACACGAGATAATGACTCTTTACAAGGCCAATGGTTTAGCTCTCATTGGGCCAGCAGTTACAGAATATAGCTGGTTTCCCGGGTGAGTGTCAGTCCATTTTCATGTCCTATTATTTTATGAAAGAAACAACTTGTTTAATCGAATGTATCAAGAATCAAACTATTGCACGAGGCCTTAGAATTGTACTAGTATTGTTGTTGGCCAACACTCTGAATGCTACATAATTTGGAAGCAGGTCTTTTTTGAGCTGTTTAATTTGAAATTTGAAATCTGTTGAGCTTATATGCCAATTTTTTAGCAGATATGCATGGACAATCGCTAATTGTGCCACATGTAGAGCCCAAATGGGATGGCTCTTTACAACCACCAACAAAAAACTAAGGCCTGATGCATTTTGGGGTATTCGGAGCTGTCAACTTGCAGAAGAAACACGCCAAATCAGTTAGTTCTGCTGATGTAGTAGTGACCATATAGTTGAGAATTTAATATGAATAGATAAATCTAGCTTAGTGTGGAAACCTGTGTTCATACAGCACTGCATGGTGCTATGATGTATATAATATAATGCAGTGTTCATGTAGCAACTTGCATGGTTATATTATGTTATGTTTATAGTTGAATAATGTTGATGAGTTGCTTCCCTGTCACCAATTTTTATTCACCTGGTAGGGAGAAACATTTCAAGCAATGAAATGCCATGTTTCTTAAATCATGCTAAGGTAAAAATGATGTTGCATTCAGAAAAAAAAAATGAAAAAGGAATTGAATACTATTATTACTGATAATAGTTTTCCTTACAATATTTTAAAAGATTGGTAACTGTCAAAGTCAACCTTGGAATAAAGAATTTAAACTCAAATGGCAATGCAATGCCTTATTCCACACTTCTAGCAAACAACAAAATAAATCAAAATCAAATCAAATCGGTTCCTAAAACAATGCAGAGTGACAATGTAGTCTACATATATAATTTGATCAAAATCTTAACGGTAGCTTCGATAGCCTGGGCTATACATGCAACTTTCTGCGTATTTGACAAGATCCTTTGGTCGAGGTAAATGAGAAGCCAGACCTGTTAACCAAAACAGACAAGACAATTAAGAACTACTAAAACACAAGAATTTTGTCTACACCGAATGAAACACATTTCACATTGAAACTCACCAAGTTCATATGTCTTAGCTGCAACACTAGCAGCAATGTTGGCTGATATCTTTCTAATATTTGTGAATGGAGGGTATATCAGTCCCTTATCATAGTTCTCCTGTGATACCTGTGCAGCCAAAGCTTCAGCTGTTTCAAATAAAATAAAACCATTAGCGTTAAAATCAAAGCCATGTCTTAACATCGCACAATTGCGACATTAATTCAATGTCATGCTCTAATTATATAATCTCTCAAGTTTGCATGTACTTACAGGCTGCCAAGAGCATCTCATCACGCACACGGATTGCACCAGAGATGATCAAACCCAAACCAAAGCCAGGAAAGATGTAAGCATTGTTGGCCTAAATTTGCATAGTAGAAAAAACAAAATATAAAAGTTAGTCACTAAATTATGGTAAGGTGTGTCTGTTAAAAAAGAAAAAAAACTGAGTGAGGAATTGAATTAACACCTGTCCAGGAACAAAAACTTTTCCTTCGTATTCAACGGGATCGAATGGACTTCCACTAGCAAAAATTGCTTTACCCTGCAAATATAAGAGGCATAATATCGTAAGTAAGAAATAAGTCATAAAAAGATGTTTCTTAAGTTGAGTAAATAAGAAATAATGTATAAAAGCTTACCTTGCTCCATGTATAAGCTTCTTCAGCTGTGCACTCAGATTGTGAAGTTGGGTTGGAGAGTGCAAGAATGAGAGGTTTCTACATTACATGCCGAGAAATACCACAAACATTAGCGATAAAATCTTCTCATAGTATGGTAGAATTATTACTAGAGAAAATCATGTACCTTATTCAAGGATGCCATGGTTTCAACAACCTCCTTGGTAAATGTCTTTCCTACTCCAGATGATCCAATCAATACAGTCGGCTTGATTGCCTGATGAAATGAATCACGAGACACGGTTTAAAAGGTTTAAGGGTAGCAAATATTTTATTGAACTAAAAATATAAAACTCGAGACACTTTGCTCACCTTGACAGCATCTAGAAGCTCCTTCACAGGCTCATGCTCGTGCGCCCAAGGCTTTTTGAAGTGCTGAAGAGATTGCAGACGAGAGCTAACAATAAGACCCTGCAAAGTAGTAAGCTTGTCACGATGAGAGGTTATGAAAACAAACTCTGCCGTTCATCTTTGCAAGGTATTAGAGACGTAAAAGTTAGTTACAAATTATTTACACCGAGTCAGAAGTTAGTTGCTCTTATTACCTTGGAGTCCACAAGCCAGATCTTCTTGCGAGTCTCTTCAACCGGGGATTTCGTCTGGCCAAAAAGAGAGAATTTAATTTAAGTACTTAAAATAAAATAATACCTTTAGATATAAGCAATCAGGTATAAAAATCAAGTTATACATACCTGCTTTGAAATCTCAAGAGCTATCAACTCTGCTATACCAGTTCCAGCCTTCAATAACCAAAATATACAAGTAAGAATTTCACTTACAAAGAAAGTTCTAAACTATGTAGCATCACTACTTTCTATGTGTGTTTGTGTTTGGTCAATGTCAGTATCAGTATCGTGTTCTGTGTTTCATAGATTCTAAAGCTTAAATACAAAATCGTGAACTTCGTAACAAATACAAACAACTAAATTAGGCTCGCTAAGGAACTTACCTCGCCAGCTCCCAAGAATAAGAATGTGTGATCAGCTAAGGTTCCTCCGATTAACTTAAGGGAAGCAAGCAATCCTGCTAATACCACAGAAGCTGTGCCCTGAATTAAACCAAAGTAGAACACAGTCAATAACAGAAACCGTGCGTACGTCAAAATCTTTCAACCATGCTACCTTACCTGTATATCATCATTAAAAACAAGATGTGACGAGCTGTATTTATCTAGAAGATCGAATGCATTATGATTGGCAAAATCTTCGAACTGAAAAACAAGAATCATAAAATCAGGAAAACAATTGATTCAAACAAAACCAAAGCCACTCAAGATGTTGAATCAGATATATACCTGTACGAGAATTTTCTCGCCATAGTTTTGCTTAACTGCATGCATAAACTCGTCTAGAAGCTCCGCATATTCCTAAACCACAATAAACAACACATTGTTAACAATATAGAAACTTCACTCCCAATGTACAAAATCATGGAATGTTAGGGATGATCAAACCTTCCCGGTTGCTCGCTTCTGTCTAAGGCCAATATAAAACTCATCATTCAGTAACTTCTCATTGTTTGTGCCAACATCAATGGTTATAGGCAAGCACTGAAATTTACACATACGCAGATCGTAATCCATTAGTTCATTGATCAACTAGAAAAGTGAAAAGAAAAGCGTTTAGTAGTTCTTACCGATGAAGGACGAACACCTCCTAATGCAGTATATAGAGAAAGCTTCCCAACAGGAATTCCCATTCCCTAACAAAACAATTGAAGAAAAGAATCATGTTAATATTAACCTTCACCTGAATTTTTCTATATATAAAGATTCGCAGCGTATCTAGAACCACAATTTACCTGGCAACCAAGATCTCCTAGTCCTAATATACGTTCACCATCGGTCACAACAATCACTTGAATCGTTTTCTCCGGCCAATTTTTAAGAACCTCAAGGATCTTGCCTCTGGAACAAAAAAAAGTTCAAGTACATAATTAGAATTTTCCAATCTAAAATAGAAAAGTACCATATAAGAAAAAAAAACATACTTCTCCTTCAAACTGATATATAAACCCTGAGGACGCCTATAAATGCTTCCATATTTCTGACATGCTTCTCCAACCGTTGGAGTGTAAACAACCGGTAACAATTCCTCGACATTATCGATCAGAAGCTTGTAAAACAGCCTCTCATTCCTCTCCTGTCAATAGAAATTCCAAACACAGTCAGAAAACGAAACCTTAAATTAAACCATATATAGTTAACATGTAACAACATAACTAAGTACCTGAAGATCCATCAAGGCTATATACCTATGAAGCGGAACATCATATTGGCGAAGATTATGCATTAATCTCTTTTCCTAGAAACACATAATTGATAATTTAATACATGAAAAGTGATTATGGATTGAAAATGAAATCTAAGTATAGTAGAAAAAAGTGATTAACCTGAAGATCTTGAGTGAAGACAGCAGGAGGCAAAAGGCCACGAACGTAATGAGCATCTCTTTCATTCTCAGTGAAAGCAAGACCTTTGTTGTAACGTGGATCTCTGAGCAAAGTGCATCCACTAGCAACAGAGAAGTTCCATGGAGTTATAAGTTGATCTTCTGTAGCACTATCTTCACCATAGAGATCCTTAACACCACCACCGACAGAACCGTTATCGTAAGCCATAGTGTCTCAGATTAACCTTTTGAATTGTTTGTGTGGTTTGTAATGAATGTGCATGAAAACCTCATGTATGTATGTATATATAAGCTATTGAAACGATGGGAAAAGAATAGAGGTAGATAGTGTAATAATTTCAACATGGACAGGAACGTGCATTCATGATGGAAAATAGAGAAAACATTTGTTGTCTTTTTCTGACTAGTTATGTCTTGTCTTTGTTTGAAGGACCAGTAGAAGACAAACCAAATACAAGAAAATTATTTATTTTATTGCCTTATATTTGACGTTGTTGTAGTTGTAGTAATAATGATATGAAAGGAAAAAGGAATGAGATGAAAAACAGTAAACACCTTTCTAGATGAGCCTAACCCGGTTGAAAGCGGTGGAAGAAAATTCGTAGATTTTCCGCGTTTTGTAAAAGTCAATAATCAATATATGTGGCAGGGTCAAACTGTGAAAACTGGAAGAGGAAGAGAAATGAGTCAAATCTAAAATAATATTATTTCATTTCAATAAAAGACCATTTGTTTTAACTTTAAAAAAATGAATTTTTTTATTTATTTTTGAAAATAGATGCTACAAAAACGTTTTTAAAAATATTATAAATTTTTAAAAATTTTATTTTGATAAATTAAATAACTAATTTTGATATGATATATTATAAAAATTTATTATTGAAGATTAGAATATAGTTAAAAACATGATTTTTTTTCAAAAAAAATTGTATCTCAAAAATAATTTTTATAAAAAACTATGAAATAGCTTCAAAATCAATTGATTATTTAAGATTTTGATATCCAATTTTCTTTTTGATAAAATGATACAATTCATAGAATAACATTAAAATTTTCATTTAAAATTTTTCTGAAAAGTTTTTTTGTAAATTTTTATTTTTATATTAAAATATGTTACACTATAAAAAATTATTTAAAATAAAGCCAAAATAAGCAGTCTAAAGTCTATGATAATAATGTATTCAAATGCTTTTTATATCATATTTTTTTTTTATTTTTTTTTTTAGAATAATAATAAATTAAAAATTCATACAACGAATATAATACTTTTCATCTTTTACAATTCAAATTTAAAATCTTTAAATTTAATGCTCTTTTATGTTATATATAATATATTATATTTTTCTTTGGAAAAAAATTTAGTGATTTTTATTTATTTAGAATCATAAATACTATATAAACCATATATATATATATATATATATATATATATATATATATATATATATATATATATATATATATATATATATATATATATATATATATATATATATATATATATATATATATATATATATATATATATATATATATTTAAAGCAAAGTACATTTTAATGACATGTCAAATCTAAAAAAAATCTTCTATTTCTATAAGTTCTATGATAATAATGTGATTTTTAAGTTAGTTTTTATATCATATTTTTTAATTCTATTCTTTAGAATAATAATGAATTAAAGGTTTTTGTAAAGAATATAAAAATTTCCTATCTTTCACAATTTTTATTAAATTTTTTTTAATATATATTTTTTTATCTTATATTATCTCTATTTTTTTTATAAGAGACAATTTACTTTTTAGGGTTATTGAATAATTAATATATCTAGCCTACAAACTGATCAAATACATTAATTATTTAATAAAATTAAAAAGTGAATTGTTCTTGTATAAAAGAACGGAGGTAGTATATACTAATATATTATATTTAGCTTTGAAAAAAAAAAGATTTAGTGATTTTTATTTATTTAGAATCATATATAATATATTATAATGTTTCTTTTATCTTATATATAATATGTTATATTTGACTTTGCAAAAAAAAAAAGATTTATTGGTTTTTATTTATTTAGAATTACAAAAACTACACAGACCATTTAAATAATATATAATGTTATACATATATAAATTATTTTTTTTATATAATTAATATTAAATTTTATATTTGCACCCGAAAAAATTAAATTTTTTTTTAATATAATACTAAATTATAGTAGTTTTTGACATGATATTTTGTTTGGTCTCATTTCTCCGCATTTTTGTTAAGGAAATATAAAAAATTAGAAATTATAAAAATAATTTATAAAATTATTCATAATTAAATTTAAAATATGGAAATGATTAATTTTTTTAAATATCTTTTAGTCTAAAATATTCTAATACAATAAAATTATAATAGTCTTTACCGTTTATTTTATATTTATTTATTAATTATTGATTTTTTTTCCAGATCTAAGATTAAGAAGTTCCATTGAAAGTTTTGAGAGTTAACTCTATATTGAGGTATTTATGCATTTTAATTTGTTTATTTTTCAGATTTTTGGTGATATATGCAATATTATTTTAGAATATTGATTATAAAACTTTAGATTTGTTGTTGTTAGATGTAAGTATATATATGTATTGTGTTGTTGTTGTTGAAAGCTAAAAATAAAAATAATTTGTTATAGAATATATATATATATATATTTAGAATTAAAAACATAATATATATATATATATATATATATATATATATATATATATATATATATATATATATATATATATATATATATATATATATATATATATATATATATATATATATATATATATATATATATATATATATATATATATATATATATATATATATATATATATATATTAGAAAATATAATATATATTAGAAAAATATATAATAGAATCTTTAAAAATATTTTTAGTAAACAATATTGTAAATAGAAAAAATTAAAATATATTTTTTAAAAAAACATAATGAATATGTATTATATTTAAAATGTGTTATTTTTAAATGTATTATTTTTTTAAAAAGTATTTTTATTAAAAAATAATGAATATGTATTATATATATTTTAAATGTGTTATTTTTAGTAAACCAATTATATATATTATAGAATATTATATTATTGGATACTTATTATATTTTAGTAAACATAATATATATTATTTTAGAAAAACACATGTTAAATATAATTTATAGTATTTTAAAAAAAATAGATTTAAACATAATATATAGTATATTTTGAGAATATGTAGTATATTTTAGTAAACATAATTTATATTATTTAAAAAAAAAATAGATTTAAATTTGTGTCTAAATAGATTTAAAATAGATTTTAGTGAACATATTTTATTAGCTTGGTTCCCACGTGAAAACCAAGTCACAAATTAGTGACGTGAGAATCACATGGGAAATAATTTAATTGGTGTCAGCTATACGTACACAGCTATATTGGGAAAACCAAGTCACTAATTAGTGACGTGATATTCATGTGGGAACTTTTTCTCTTATTTTTGTTATTTGCGACGTGAGATATATGTCACAACTTTGTGACCTGTTTTTCACGTGGGAAAATGTTCCCACCATTGCATTTCCGACGTGTTTTTGGGTTAGTGACGTGAAAATCCTTTGGAAAAATGCAATGTTTCTTATAGTGATATACTTCTTTTGATCTTATTTTTTGCAATATTCTGAAACAAATTATAGTCTACTGACGTGTCAAATATAAAAATATTCTCAATTTCTAAAAGTTCTATGATCATCCTGATGTAATTTTTAGATGTTTTTTATATCAAAATTTTAAAATTTATTCTTTAGAATAATGATGAATTAAAGGTTCCTATAAAGAATATAAAAAATATTCATCTTCCACAATTCAAATTTAAAATCTTTAAATTTATTGTTTATTTTATCTTATATATAATCTATTATATTTACCTTTGAAAAAAATGTTTGTGGTTTTTATTTATTTAGAATAAAAAAAACTACATAGACTAATTAAATAATATATATGTTATTCACAAATTAATAAATAAATATTTTTTTACATCTTTTAGTCTAAAATATCATAATTAATATAAAATTTGACTACTATATAAGAGCTATTTCATCACAGTTCGAAAAGAGACACCATCACGATTGACCAACTGTGATGAGGTATGGTATGATTGTAAGTGTGTAGTTTACAACCACAATCTATTGTCCGTTGTAGTCAACTGAAAAACGCGCTATCTATAACCACGACTGTTTTAAACAACCGTTGTGAAATTATTTATAGGTCCTGCGTGCGCTCGATACACTGCAACACCATTTTTGACATTTACATTCTAGATAAAGCTCTATCTATAACAACGGTTGTATTAAACAAGAGTTGTGAGTTTATTTGTTTTTTAAAATATACATTTTGTAATTTTACATAATTCTCAATTTTTAAGCCTGAATTTTACTGAAACGTATTAGACCAGAAATAACAATACACCCATTTGTGAATCATATCAGACTAAAAATTGTATTTCATCAAAGGCAAAATTGCATTAAGAACCAAAAATTGTATATTACATCAAAATCAAAATGGCATAAAACAACCTATAATTTACACATTATTACATCAAATAATAATATTTTGGTGTCTAGGGCCGTTTTGAGGGCATTCAAGGTGGGCTACCGCACATTGTCAAAAAATTATCATGGATAAACCAATGTCTAAAAAAGGCATCATAAAATGTTTTTCATGATTAAAACATAGGTAAACAAGGTCTCTATTTGTTTTTTCATGGCTAAACATCGACCAATCTAAACAGGGCCTCCAAAAACTTGAGAGGACTCTGATGGTGTCTTGTCTCTTAATGTCTTGACTTTAAACACCTATAGTTTCAAATAATAATATTTGTTAGTCAATAAATTTAGAAATTATAACTTACAATAAATTATGAATAAAAAATACTTGTTAATTTTCCCAAATGTCTTCTTGATGATCGTTATGAATAACATGCACATAATCTCTATCAACTTCTTCAAATGAAGTAGGCAATTGTGTTGCATAAGAAGAAGGGGAAGGAATATCAAAATTTTCATCACTATGAGGGATTTTTTTTTAGAGAACAATTGACCATCTTCGAGATAAGTCTGAAGAGTTTATCACATAAAAAAACTTGTTTTGCTTGAGTAGCAATGATGAATGGTTTGGTCATGTAAGTTGTCTTGC